AAGTGTTCGCTTTTTTTAATGAATCTATTTTTCAATTGTCAGATTTTCCAATTAATCGATTTTTTAATTTTTTGAGATTTGAATTTTAGTTTTTCGGTTTTAAAATTCTTGGATCTTTCAAGTTTTGACTATTATCAGATTTTTCTTTATTTCACAACTCGATGTTTTCGTTTTACGTTTTTTATTTTTAAAAATTTAAAATTTTTTGACAATCATCCAATACATATTTCAATTTTGCCATTTTACAAATTTTCAATTTTTTGAATTTCAATTGTTTAAAATTTTGACTTTAATTTTTCGGTTTAATTATTTTACAATTCTTCGGTTGAAAATTATCCGATTTTTGATTTTTCAGTTCCCCGAATTTCGTTGCCTCTATTTTCTAATCTTTTGATTTTTAACATTTCAAAATTTTGATTTCTTGATATTTGAATTTTAGAAGTTTTTCGATTTCAAAGTTTTTGGATTTTTCAAGTTTTCAGTCTACAGTCAGATTTTCCAAATTCTTGATTTTTCAATTTGATGTTTCAGTTTTACGTTTTGCGATTTTTCGATATTGCCATTATTCGATTTTTCCGTTTTGCAGTTTTACAAATTTTCGATTTTTTTGGGTTTCAATTGTTAAAAATTTTGAGTTTGATTTTCCAAATTTTTGATTTTTCGGTTTAATTATTTTACCATTTTTCGTTTTTAAAATTATTCGATTCGATTTAGCAATTTCGTTGTTTCCATTTTATATTTTTTTGATTTTTTTCATTTCATATTTCAAAATCTTGATTTCCAATTTTCCGAGTTTTTGATTTATCTGATTCATAATTTTACAATGTTTCAATTTTTCAATTTGGTCATTTTTGTGTTTTACAACTGTCAATTTTTTGATTTTGTAGTTTCATATTTTTCCAATTTCTCGATTTTTAGATTTTCCATTTTTTAATTGCTCGATTTATCATTTTAATAATATTGCAGTTTTTCATTTTTGCAGTTTTATAAATTTTCCAGTTTTCAATTATCCAATTTTTTCAATTGTGTAATTTTTCAATTTTTTTTATTTTTAATAGTTCAAAATTTCAATTTTAGTATTTCAAGTTTTGAACTAAAGTTAAATAATTTTACAATGTCTGGATTATTTAATTATTTTTTTATAATTCTTTGTTTCATAACTTTGTTGTCGATTATTCAATTTTAAATTTTTGAGTTATCCGAATTTCATTGTTTCGATTTTCCAATTTTTGATTATTAATTTTTGAATTTTTTTTTCATTTCTGATTTTTCGAATTTCCCAGTTGTAAAATTGTTTCTTTATAAATTTTATATTTTGCAATTTTACAAATTTTCAATTTTTTGAATTTCGGTTGTTTAAAATTTTGACTTTAATTTTTGAAGTTTTTGATTTTTCGGTTTAATTTTTTATAATTTTTCGTTTTCAAAGTTATCCGATTTTTGATTTTTCTATTCCTCGAATTCCGTTGTTTCCATTTTATATTTTTTTGATTTTTAATATGTATCTCAAAATTTTGATTTCCAATTTTCCAAGTTTTTGATTTATCAGTTTCATAATTTTACAATATCTCGATTTTTAAATTTTTTGAAGTTTGAATTTTGTAAGTTTTTCGGTTTCAAAGTTTTTAGATTTAGAAGTTTTGAGTCTACAGTTAACAGATTTTTTGTTTCTTGATTTTTCAGATATACGTTTTGTAATTTTTCGATATTACCACTATTCGATTTTTCAATTTTATATTTTTACAATTTTTTATTTTTGAAATTTAATTTTTTTTTACAATTGTCCAGTTTTTCAATTTTGGAATTTTACAAATTTTCAGTTTTTTGATTTTCAGCTTAAAATTTTGACTTTAATTTTTCAAGTTTTTGATTTTTCAATCCCCGAATTTTGTTGTTTTGACTTTAATTTTTCAAGTTTTTGATTTTTCAATCCCCGAATTTTGTTGTTTCCATTTTGTAATTTTTTGGTTTTTAATGTTTCAAAATTTTGATTTCCAATTTTCCAAGTTTTTGATTCATCAGTTTCATAATTTTACAATTTCTCGATTTTTCAATTTTTTGACATTTGAATTTCAGAAGTTTTTCTGTCTCAAAGTTTTTAGATGTTTCAAGTTTTCACTCTTCAGTTATCAGATTTTCCAAATTCTTGATTTTTCAAATTAATGTCTCAGTTTATTAATTTGTAATTTGTCGATATTAACATTATTGAATTTTTCAATTCTATACTTGTACAATTTTTTATTTTTGAAAATTAAATTTTTGTACAGTTATCCAATTTTTCAAATTTGGAATTTTACAAAATTTCAATTTTTTGATTTTCAGTTTAAAATTTTGACTTTAATTTTTCAAGTTTTTGATTTTTCAATCACCGAATTTTGTTGTTTCCATTTTGTCATTTTTTGATTTTTACAATTTCAAAATTTTGATTTCCAATTTTCCAAGTTTTTGATTTATTAGTTTCATAATTTTACAATTTCTCGATTTTTCATTTTTTTGACATTTGAATTTTAGAAGTTTTCGGGTTCAAAGTTTTTAGATTTTTCAAGTTTTCACTCTACAGTTATCAGATTTTCCAATTTCTTGATTTTTCAACTTAATGTCTCAGTTTATTGTTTTGTAATTTGTCGATATTAACATTATCGGATTTTTCAATTTTATACTTTTACAATTTTTTGTTTTTGAAATTTAATTTTTTTTATAAATATCCAATTTTTTAATTTTGCAATTTTACAAAATTTCAATTTTTTGATTTTCAGTTTAAAATTTTGACTTTAATTTTTCAAGTTTTTAATTTTTCAATCCCCGAATTTTGTTGTTTCCAAATTGAAATTTTTTGATTTTTAATATTTCAAAATTTTGATTTCCAATTTTCCAATTTTCCAAGTTTTTGATTTATCAGTTTCATAATTTTTCAATTTCTCGATTTTTCAATTTTTGACATTTGAATTTTAGAAGTTTTTCGGTTTTAAACTTCTACAATTCTTTATTTTTGAAATTAATTTTTTTTTACAATTATTTCATTTTTCAGTTTTGCAATTTTACAAATTTTCAATTTTATGGATTTCAATTGTTTAAAATTTTGACTTTAATTTTTCAGGTTTTTGATTTTCTGGTTTAATTATTTTATAATTTTTCATTTTTAAAGTTATTCGATTTTTGTTTTTTCAATTATCCGAATTTCGTTGTTTCCATTTTCTAATGTTTTGATTTTTAATATTTCAAAATTTTGATTTCTAATTTTCTAAGTTTTTGATTTATCAGAAAAATTTTACAATTTCTCAATTTTTAAATTTTTCGATTCTGAAATCCTTAAATTTTTCATTTTTCAATTTTGTAATTTTACAATTTTTTAATTTTTAAAAGTTCAAAATTTCAAGTTTAGTTTTTCAAGTTTTTGAGCCTAAAGTTTAATAATTTTACAATTTTTGGATGTCTTAATTATTTTTTTATAATTGTTTGTTTTTTTAAATTTTTCGTTTTTTCGATTATTCAATTTTGAATTTTTCAGTTATCTGAATTTCATTGTTTCGATTTTCCTATTTTTGATAATTAATTTTGGCGTTTTTCTTTACATTTTCTGATTTTTCCAATTTCTCAGTTTTAAAATTGTTCCATTATGAATTCTATATTTCACAATTTTTCGATTTTGAAATCCTTCGATTTTTCATTTTTTGTTTAATTTTTCATTTTAATAAGACTGCAATTTTTCATTTTTTAAAAATTTTCTAGTTTACAATTATCCAAAAAGTTTCAATTTTGTAATTTTTCAATTTTTTTATTTTTAATATATCGTTTCAATTTCAATTTTAATTTATCAAGTTTTTAAGTCTAAAGTTTAATAATTTTACAATTTTTGGATGTCTTAATTATTTTTGTATAATTCTTTGTTTTTTTTTTAAATTTATCGTTTTTCCGATTATTCAATTTTTAATTTTTAGTTATCCGAATTTCATTGTTTCGATTTTCCAATTTTTGATACTTAATTTTTGTGTTTTTCTTTAAATTTTCTGATTTTTCCAATTTCTCAGTTTTAAAATTGTTCCATTATGAATTCTATATTTTACAATTTTTCGATTTTGAAATCCTTCAAATTTTCATTTTTTGTTTAATTATTCATTTTAATAAAACTGCAATTTTTCATTTTTTAAAAATTTTCTAGTTTACAATTATCCAAAAAGTTTGAATTTTGTAATTTTTCAATTTTTTCATTTTTAATATATCGTTTCAATTTCAAATTTAGTTTATCAAGTTTTTGAGTCTAAAGTTTGATAATTTTACAATTTTTGGATGTCTTAATTATTTTTCCATAATTCTTTGATTTTTTAAATTCCAGTTGCCCGAATTTCATTGTTTCGGTTTTTCAATTTGGTTCTGATTATTTTTTGTATTTTTTTTACATTTTCTGATTTTTCCAATTTCTCAGCTTTAAAATTGTTCCATTATGCATTTTATATTTTACAATTTTTCGATTTTGAAATCCTTGCATTTTTTATAAATTTTCCAGTTTACAATTATCCAGTTTTTCAATTTTCTATTTTTTAAAATTTCAAAATTTCAATTTTAGTTTTTCAAGTTTCTGAGTCTAAGGTTTAATAATTTTACAATTTTTGGATGTCTTGATTATTTTTTATAATTCCTCATTTTTCAACTTTTTCCGTTTTTTCGGTTATTCAGTTTTTTTAATTTTTCAATTTCGAATTTCATAGTTTCCATTTTCAATTAATTTTTGTTTTTTTCTACATTTTCTGATTTTCACAATTTCTCAGCTTTAAAACTGTTCCATTATGGATTTTTTCCAATTTTTTGATTTTTTGTTTTTCAATGTATAAAATGTGATCATAAATAAAATTTCGCAAAATAATTTTTTTTTTAATACGAAACGCGTCCCAACTTTCAAACCTCGATTACTCAGGTCGCTCCAAACTCGACAATAAAGCCACCCGTGCACAAAAACGAAAACAAATGAAGTGTTTTAATTTAACAAACCCACTCCCACTCACTTTTATCTGCTTGGAAGGAATTTTTAGGCGCTTTTCCATGTCGACCAGTTCCCAGTTACTAATCACTTTATCCACCATTTTCGGCTCCAGCATCCGTACGATGGACACATTCGTTTTTATTTCCCCTAAACTGCTGAAATCTATGGTGTAGGCATCCTGAAAAATAATCAACAATAATGTACCTTTTATCTGCTAACTATAATTTAGTCGTTCGAACGAACACATCTCGCAGACAGCTTTATGGTAATGGCAGTTAGGAACGGATTAAGCGACAAAGTGGAAACACGGCTTTATCGAGAAATATTTCCATTGGTTGCTTTAAATCACGTGTTAGTTTAATTAACACGCGTCTGTCTCTCATTGGTGGCCTTACCAGTGACGTGAGCAAATAAGTATGATATTCTTCGAATAGCTTCACCTCTTTGGCTTGCAGCAGAATGTCCACGGTGTGTTCCACGTCACAGTCTAGGACGATCTGTAATGCCCCTGACGCCACGATTTCTTTAAGAATGGGCCTGAAAGCACTTTATAAATTAGATTTTTTCGGGAGAATAATTCCATTGACGTCACAAATCAAATTTCTGGTCCAATAGGTCCCCTCTTGTTGTGACGTTTGATAAACCGTCTCAGACGTCGCATCGGTATAAACAAGATGTGAGTTTTTGTTGCTCGACAAAGCCATTATTATCTGCCAAGTTATTAAGATTTTCGCAAAATTCGCAAACTTTTATAATCGCTTTCGGTTTATAACGTAACTTTTCTCATAATGCTGTTGCTTGATAAAATGTCTTTGCTTTGTGTCGGGGCTTATTGGAGGTGGCGTTTTTGAATACCTGTCAGACTGGCTTGAATGTGAAATTGATCTCGGCTGCAGCGGACTGCACGTTAATGATGATCTAGGCGAAGTGAGTACATAATTAGAAGTTAACAGCGTCGAAACTAGAGATGCTGAATGCAGGGAAGTTCGCAACTTCCGAGTTGGATTGCTGTTTATTGTGAATGAGCGCGAACAAAAAAACCGCTGGAACTATTATCGTCCGAGGAGATAAATCTCGGAGTTGCAGATTAGGAATTTGAATAATTTTAATTAGGTTCTTATTCGGCGACTTGCAGAGGCAGACAGACGCTCCTAATTAAAACGTGATTAAAATTAAACAAATCGTGTTCGTCGTAACTAGGGATTTTAATCTCGGCGCGACTCTTCCGGAAGGTGCAGATTTAATCAGTGTTGTTCCGACGAAAAAATGTTTTTAACTGATTCTGAATTTCGGGCGAATATTTTCGACGTCTGCATGGTTTTTATTATCTGAATGTAAGTTTGGGACGTCTAGAGTACGAAAAAAGTGGTCTAGTGGTAAATTTTCACCCTGTTTTTTTTGTACTTATTTTTTAATTTTTCCAAAATTTCAATTTCTCGACTTCCGTATTTATTTTTCGGTTTTGCGTTTTTCGATTTTCAGTTTGTGAATTTTTAATTTTTTGATTTTTGAATTTTTCAAATTCAATGTTTCGTTTTCCATTTTCTTTGTTTCCTCAATGTTTCTTTTGACTTTATATTTCGTTGATTTTCGATTTTAAAACACATATTTAGTTTTTTAGATTTTGCGCTGTTTTGACTTTGTATTTTTTCGACTTTCAAATTTCTTAATTTTTGATTTCGAATTTTTCGTTTGTTCAATTTTTCAAGTTTTTGATTTCCAATTTTTAGATTTTTCAACGTTTACATTTTATAGTTCTTCGTATTTTCATTTTGGATTTTTTCAGTTTTACAGTTTTGTAATTTTTCCATTTCTTTTTCGAAAAGTTGAAAAATTAAAAAATTAGAAATCGAAAAACTAAAAAACCTAATAGTCGAAAAATTATAACAAATAGTTAAAACTGTAAACTCGAAAAAGTGCAAAATTGCAAATGCAAATTTTTCGTTTTTTCATTTTCTCTAATTTTTCAATTTTTCAGTATTTCGGTTTCGTTATTTTTCGTTTTTTCGACTTTAATTTTTCCAAATTTTCAATTTCTCGACTTGCAGATTTTTCAATTTCTTGATATTTCAATTTTTCAATTTTGTAATTTTTCGATAATACAATTTTGCATTTTTCGATTTTTCGGTTTGTTAATTTTTAATTTTTTAATTTTTCAAATTTTCAATATTTGATTTTCAATTCTTCGAGTTTCCAATTTTTAAGTTTTTCAATTTGGTAATTATTGGATTTCCTGTTATTCGATTTTTAGATTTCTTTGATTTTTGATTTTACGAAACATATTTGGTCTTTTAGAATTTGCGCTTTTTCGATTTTGTATTTTTTCGAATTTTCAGTTTCTCAATTTTTGATTTTGAATTTTTCGTTTGTTTAATTTTTCAAGTTTTTGATTTCCAATTTTTAGATTTTTCAACGTTTACATTTTATAGTTCTTCGTTTTTTCACTTTAGATTTTTTCAGTTTTACAGTTTTGTAATTTTTCCATTTCTTTTTCGAAAAGTTGAGAAATTAAAAAATTAGAAATCGAAAAACTAAAAAACCTAATAGTCGAAAAATTATAACAAATAGTTAAAACTGTAAACTCGAAAAAGAGCAAAATTGCAAATGCAAATTTTTCGTTTTTTCATTTTCTCTAATTTTTCAATTTTTCAATATTTCGGTTTCGTTATTTTTCGTTTTTTCGACTTTATTTCCAAATTCTCAATTTCTCGACTTGCAGTTTTTTTAATTTCTTGATATTTGAATTTTTCAATTTTGTAATTTTTCAATAATACAATTTTGCATTTTTCGATTTTTCGGTTTGTTAATTTTTAATTTTTTAATTTTTCAAATTTTCAATATTTGATTTTCAATTCTTCGAGTTTCCAATTTTTAAGTTTTTCAATTTGGTAATTATTGGATTTCCTGTTATTCGATTTTTAGATTTCTTTGATTTTTGATTTTACGAAACACATTTGGTCTTTTAGAATTTGCGCTTTTTCGATTTTGTATTTTTTCGAATTTTCAGTTTCTCAATTTTTGATTTTGAATTTTTCGTTTGTTTAATTTTTCAAGTTTTTGATTTCCAATTTTTAGATTTTTCAACGTTTACATTTTATAGTTCTCCGTTTTTTCATTTTGGATTTTTTCAGTTTTACAGTTTTGTAATTTTTCCATTTCTTTTTCGAAAAGTTGAGAAATTAAAAAATTAGAAATCGAAAAACTAAAAACCTAATAGTCGAAAAATTATAACAAATAGTTAAAACTGTAAACTCGAAAAAGTGCAAAATTGCAAATGCAAATTTTTCGTTTTTTCATTTTCTCTAATTTTTCAATTTTTCAATTTTTCGGTTTGGTTATTTTTCGTTTTTTCGACTTTAATTTTTCCAAATTTTGAATTTCTCGACTTGCAGATTTTTCAATTTCTTGATATTTCAATTTTTCAATTTTGTAATTTTTCGATAATACAATTTTGCGTTTTTCGATTTTTCGGTTTGTTAATTTTTAATTTTTTAATTTTTCAAATTTTCAATATTTGATTTTCAATTCTTCGAGTTTCCAATGTTCAAGTTTTTCAATTTTGTAATTATTGGATTTCCTGTTATTCGATTTTTAGATTTCTTTGATTTTCGATTTTACGAAACATATTTGGTCTTTTAGAATTTGCGCTTTTTCGATTTTGTATTTTTTCGAATTTTCAGTTTCTCAATTTTTGATTTTGAATTTTTCGTTTGTTTAATTTTTCAAGTTTTTGAGTTCCAATTTTTAGATTTTTCAACGTTTACATTTTATAGTTCTTCGTTTTTTCACTTTGGATTTTTTCAGTTTTACAGTTTTGTAATTTTTCCATTTCTTTTTCGAAAAGTTGAGAAATTAAAAAATTAGAAATCGAAAAACTAAAAAACCTAATAGTCGAAAAATTATAACAAATAGTTAAAACTGTAAACTCGAAAAAGAGCAAAATTGCAAATGCAAATTTTTCGTTTTTTCATTTTCTCTAATTTTTCAATTTTTCAATATTTCGGTTTCGTTATTTTTCGTTTTTTCGACTTTAATTTTTTCAAATTTTCAATTTCTCGACTTGCAGATTTTTCAATTTCTTGATATTTCAATTTTTCAATTTTGTAATTTTTCGATAATACAATTTTGCATTTTTCGATTTTTCGGTTTGTTAATTTTTAATTTTTTAATTTTTCAAATTTTCAATATTTGATTTTCAATTCTTCGAGTTTCCAATGTTCAAGTTTTTCAATTTTGTAATTATTGGATTTCCTGTTATTCGATTTTTAGATTTCTTTGATTTTCGATTTTACGAAACATATTTGGTCTTTTAGAATTTGCGCTTTTTCGATTTTGTATTTTTTCGAATTTTCAGTTTCTCAATTTTTGATTTTGAATTTTTCGTTTGTTTAATTTTTCAAGTTTTTGAGTTCCAATTTTTAGATTTTTCAACGTTTACATTTTATAGTTCTTCGTTTTTTCACTTTGGATTTTTTCAGTTTTACAGTTTTGTAATTTTTCCATTTCTTTTTCGAAAAGTTGAGAAATTAAAAAATTAGAAATCGAAAAACTAAAAAACCTAATAGTCGAAAAATTATAACAAATAGTTAAAACTGTAAACTCGAAAAAGAGCAAAATTGCAAATGCAAATTTTTCGTTTTTTCATTTTCTCTAATTTTTCAATTTTTCAATATTTCGGTTTCGTTATTTTTCGTTTTTTCGACTTTAATTTTTTCAAATTTTCAATTTCTCGACTTGCAGATTTTTCAATTTCTTGATATTTCAATTTTTCAATTTTGTAATTTTTCGATAATACAATTTTGCATTTTTCGATTTTTCGGTTTGTTAATTTTTAATTTTTTAATTTTTCAAATTTTCAATATTTGATTTTCAATTCTTCGAGTTTCCAATTTTTAAGTTTTTCAATTTGGTAATTATTGGATTTCCTGTTATTCGATTTTTAGATTTCTTTGATTTTTGATTTTACGAAACACATTTGGTCTTTTAGAATTTGCGCTTTTTCGATTTTGTATTTTTTCGAATTTTCAGTTTCTCAATTTTTGATTTTGAATTTTTCGTTTGTTTAATTTTTCAAGTTTTTGATTTCCAATTTTTAGATTTTTCAACGTTTACATTTTATAGTTCTTCGTATTTTCATTTTGGATTTTTTCAGTTTTACAGTTTTGTAATTTTTCCATTTCTTTTTCGAAAAGTTGAAAAATTAAAAAATTAGAAATCGAAAAACTAAAAAACCTAATAGTCGAAAAATTATAACATATAGTTAAAACTGTAAACTCGAAAAAGTGCAAAATTGCAAATGCAAATTTTTAGTTTTTTCATTTTCTCTAATTTTTCAATTTTTCAGTATTTCGGTTTCGTTATTTTTCGTTTTTTCGACTTTAATTTTTCCAAATTTTCAATTCTTCGACTTGCAGATTTTTCAATTTCTTGATATTTCCATTTTTCAATTTTGTAATTTTTCGATAATACAATTTTGCATTTTTCGATTTTTCGGTTTGTCAATTTTTAATTTTTCAATTTTTCAAATTTTCAATATT